AAATGTTTTGACACCTAAAACCCCCTAAACATTCAAAACTAAACCTTAATAGAACATAATTAATCCAAATATAAATAATATAAAAAAAAATAATTTTGAAAAAGTATATTTTTGTAAAGATTTCAAAAATGTGGTATTTTTATAAAGTAATAATTGAAAAGTGGCATTTTTTAAAATTTCTCATAAATAATCTTAGAGAGAGAGAGAGGTGTTTACTAGTTCGAAAACCGATGTGGTTTCTACATTTCGCCGTTAATGATGTACGATGACAATATTATAAACTATTTATTAACTACATATCTTAGGCGGTATTTTTGTTATTATTTTAGAACACTGATAGAATTGGGAGCTTCTCCTTGATTGACAGGTTCGACAACGAAACAGTTTTGTCCTACATTAATACTGTCGTCCCCCACTGGTTCTCAGATACTGTTATATTTGGATAAGTATGTGATGAAATGCGTTCGTGTCAAAAAAAAAATTATAGAATTGGGAGTTATTTTAGAAACTTGAGTTATAAAACTGTTTTTAATATAAATAAATTGTTTAATTAAAAACAAAAATACGGAACCAATTATTAACAGTAACACAGAGCTTCAGATATTCTCTTTAAAAGTTTCTCAAAACTCTAAAGAAAAGCATTTTTTATTCTCTCTCCTCCTTTATTATTATTATTTATTTGTTTAATGTTGAGATACTCTTATGATACAATCTACCCATTAACCTTTTTTAAGGATTAATTAGGTTAATATTAGTTTTGGGTAGATATTTAGGTAACTACCATGTGCATAATGAAATTTAGGTATCTAGGAGAGAAAAGCAAAATCTGGACTAATTTGCCTTTACGAAATTGGTTAAGGAAAGTAGTAAAAACCATAATATGACCATCATTTTTATAAGGAAAGTAATAAAAATTCATTAAAAAAAAATTTCGACATCTCTAAATTTTTATTTTTTGACAAAATCAATCAATCCGATCTCTTAAAAAAAAATCGAGATTAATCTTGACTGATGCAAATTAATCTTGATTCAATGATATCATATGGCAGTATAGTTGACTATATTTTCACTTTTTGTATTGTTGTAGTTAGCTAAAATTCTAATAGTGATCTCAAACGGTTGTATAGTTGACTACATTCCTACTTTTTATATTGTTGTAGTCGGCGGATCTCGAAAGCAAAAAAAGTTTTGTATAGTTGACTATATTCTTACTTTCTATGTTGTTGTAGTTAGCTAAAATTCATATTTTGTATAGTTGACTATATTCATACTTTCTGTGTTGTTGTAGTCAGCTAATCAACTAATAATATAGTGAACTATATAATCTTTACAACATTCAAAATTCAATTGTAATAATATAGTTAACTATATAATATTTACAATTGTATATCTTTTAGTCTATGTTTATCAAGATAGTTAACTAAATAACACWTATAATYTATATAYTTAACTAAAATAYTTCACTGGTTATATACGAATAGTTCGCTATTTAATCATGTATAGTGATAAGAAAATAGTTTACTATATAAAAC